TCGTCATGTCCTCTTAGCAACAGAGGTCCACGCGCACGCACACACACACACACCCCTACCTACACCTCCGACGCACCAACAGCAAAAAACACACTCTTACCACCACCGAGTCGCCTCAGAGTTCCCTCTTCCTTCAGCTTCCCCTGCGCAACTTGCTCCGTCCCGAGCTGGGACGGCGGCCTTGGGTACGGAGGAAAATATCAAGACAAGAACGCTAGCGGCCGACAGGGGCTGTGTTGGTCTGGCCTCGCTGATAAAGGGGATCCCGTCAAGTGGAATCCAAATGGGCTTTGTGAAAGCAGGACCCAGCCAATTTTCAAGCACATGTCGAAAGACAACAAGCATACTTCCCCATTCGGCGTGATCCCACAGCATGGGGTGGATTAGATGCGCGGTGTGGAGCGCGGGGTACCCCGGCACAGGTGGCTTGCGGGGAGGCGGCGATGAGCGTGCTCCGCGGCTGTCTGAGCCGCCCTCCGCCGAGCCGGGTTTGTGCCTTGCGGCTGAATGACGGCAAATGCTCCTTGGCAAATTTGCGATGCAGCCGTTTAAATTCAATTCCGCTCTGTGCTAAGGCCTAGCTCTCCTGCTGCCTTTGGAGGCTCGCTGGCCTAGCTGTAGCAATCTTGCAGTTGGAGCCTCCAAATTCCTTGTGAGCAAAAACCTTTCTCCAGTCAGCCGGTAGTGTCCTCTAGAATGCAGCAGACACCCCACACCGCACACGGCGGAGTTCGCGACTTCTTGAAACGAGCTTTGACGTCCAGCATAGCTGCGACATGCCAGAAGGTTGGTGATGTGATTGCTCTGTGCAGGTCTCCCCAGAAGTCTTCGTTCGCTGTCTTCTTGAGCTCCGCGAGGGTGCTGGTGTTGCGAACAGAGGCGAAGCGGACGATGGGGGAGAGATCCTCTGGTGAGGCAGGCCGACCCTTGCTTCTTTCTAGATGCTTTACAGGCAAGATGGTGGCGCAGAGAAGCAGTGAAGGAGGCCTTCCGCGAAGCTGCGTGAAGTAGATCGGTAACAGCTGCCTGCACCTCCAGCTTTTCAGAGTGCACGTCTGGTCATGTCCGAACCGCTGTCACGACGCAGGTACCACCTCAACAGTGTCAGAGGTGCTGAACACGCCCCGGGAGGCCAGAAACAATGACTTGTTTCGCATGGGTGGAATCGGACAAACTAATCTTGCCAGGATGCGATGCAGTTCATGGACAGGCTGGATGCTGGCAGGCACCCGGAGTACCGCAAGCAAGCACTGTTGTGGTATTGGGGCAGCTGGCCTTGACGAGCCAGCGACGCTTCTGAACGTTGTTTTGCAAGTGTATCGGAACTGTACCGAACGGCCAGGCATAGCCCTGGCATTGAGGCCTCGCAGCCGTGGCCTGAGTTGCGGCCCGCCATAGGATATCCCACAGTTGCTGCAGACCCTGCTTGTAATACTGGGTGTTTTTCGTTCTGAAATAAGAGCCATCTGATTGTCATGCTCGGGCTTCACCTAAACAAATACGTCATGGCAACTGTATCTGCCTTTGGGGCTCAACACACTTGACTTAACGGTCAGTGTATAGTGTATAGACTCGGTCAGAGCAAGGTGGGACGGTATCTCAGTTGCCCGATTTGTAGCCACGGAAAGTAGCAGTGTTCAAAGTTGGTTCATGGTTGTGTCCAGGCCGCGCGGTTCAGTGAATACGCTGGCAGGCAATGCGGCAGCAAGTCCTACCGAATACAGCTTTCTGCTGATAGCTATTCTCGTTCGTGAGAGTCTTCCATCGAGCTGTCCGGGCTAAGTCGTACCTTGCAGACTTGCACTAGAACGATTCAGTGTTTCACGAAAGCGAGTTCTGTGGGGACTCAGCTGCAGTTCTGGATTACTAGCTAGTGGGTTCCAAGGCGTGGAACCCTATCCTCATTGAAACCTCGGATATTTTCAGGCTTTTCAGGTTGATTGGTCTTTTGCGCAACCGTTTTCCTGGCTGCAGTTTGTTCGTGAACTTCGGGCCAGACAAGCAGGAGCTTGAATTACATCTTAAATAGAGCCCAATCTAGAGCTCAAAGCTTCGACATCTATCTTATCGTAGGCCTGATGAGCTTGATCTTTGGATGACAGGCCCCCCTTGGCCCCCTGCCCCCTGCCCCACGCCCCCGAGGCCTCCTTGTCTGCCCTTCCTTTCCACTGCTGCTCCCAGTGCTTCTGCTGTTCTGCTGCTGGGTTGCCGGTGCCGGAACTACTAATGCTGCTCCTCTTGCTAGTCGATGGCAATGCCGCGCGCTGTATCAGTTGACATGTTTGAGGTTCGAGCTTTATGGAGGAACCCCTGGCTGACACGCAAGAGTGGCCTGGCGGATTCTCAGTAAGGACTTGGACCTGCAAGCCTGCCGATCCTCTAATGTTCAACAGCACTGAAGTCGTTTGTTGTGTAGCACATGTAATGTGTGCAGGGGCAAGTTCGTCGAACGATGCACATGCCGTCGCCCGACGTCTTTCAGATTCTCTTAGCACTCCAATTTCGACGCCATGTCGTCGTACACCGCGTCGGAGATCGCCGCGGCCATCGCGATCCTGGAGGACGCTGTCGATGCCGGCGTCGACCTTGCCCTTCACTTTGGGCACTGGTCGCGCCTCCAACGTCGGACACTAGCGATGGGTATGGGAGGTGCAGAAGCGAGGTGGGCCGACGCCAAGGCCAAGCCAAGGCAGCCGGCGGGCGGGGCGCCCGTCAGAGCCCCCGGCCGTCAAGCAGCCACCGGCGTTTCCCATCGCCCTATGTCGTCGGCTGCATCGACATCAGCAGCCCAGAGCCCAGCGTCTTGGCTACGCCACATCGACGGCATTCTACGCGGCGCGTGGTCGTGGTGACATACCGGTGGCGCCGAAGCCTGCGAGCTTCCCGCCCGCCGAAGGCAGCCGACGACCGGCCGACGGCCGGCGTGGCACTACACGAAGGAGGTCACGAAAGGACCCGGCGCAGAATGCTGGCCAACAGTTGGCACTGGGGCGTGGCTCGACGACTGCTAGCGATGCTTGTGATCCTCACCACGGCCACGCCGACTCAAGCATGGCTCAGCCGGAGGTCGGCCATGATGGCCATGTCAACTATCTCGGGCACAAAGTCAGGTACATAGACAAAGGCTTGTATGCGAGTGAGGCCGGCAGCTTCCTCAGTAACGGCAGCCTGTTGAACTGTCGCCTCCGAATGGTCAAGCGGGCTTCCATTAAGATCGTGCTCAAAATGTCTGGGCGTTCTATGGAGTTCCGCCTGATATCTCACTGTGTCAGTGATCCCGGAGCCGGACGACACTGCTGGGGGGCCATACGTTCCTTTGCGTTCCCTCATCTTGGCAGACCTCCTGATCCCGGTTCCCGGTGGTGTTTTTTTAAAGCGGAGGCTCCGGCTGGAGATTGGCGGTGTTGACTTCAACAGGGCTTGCGTCCAGAGAAGGCGTTCCAACTGTGTCCTTTTGGCAATGATGGGTCAGCGAAATGGACATTAGTAGGCACAGGAGAGACCTCTCCAATCCAGGTGTCGGACAGGCACTAGGGGAAGGAAGGACTAGGGCTTAAGGGACCCCGGCAGCAAACGGGGCCTACTGTGACCGCTCTTTTGGACTCACGTCGTGTTGGGGTTTCAGGGGTGTAAGCACAGGAGGATGGCTTGGACCAGCACGACCCGGAGTTTCACTAGCCTGGAACAGTGCCTGCGACGTTGGACGGTGGCCAGACGACCCTTGCTTGAACCGGCACTGGAATGGGTGCTGTCGCTGTAGTCCGAGTGGCGCCACGACGTGGTTCGCATCCGACGCCTCGTCCTGGAGGAGCTGGCGGACATGGTTGAGGACATGGGTGACGGAGGAGTGGCTGGCGTCCCGGCCGGCACCGATCAGGTCGACGTACATGGCAACACCCGCCACACCCAGATCCCCGTCGTACTCCACCTCCTCGACCTCGTGGTTACCCGCAGTTCGAGATGCTGGTACACCACTCCAGTGTCGCTGGAAACTGGCGGTATGTCCAGGACCGGACGGCCAGGCCCAAAGCCGGCGAGCACTCGCACAAGCTGGAGCTCGTCGAGGAGTCACAGATTGGCAGAGTGGTCGGTCCTACCCGGCCGCCGGTGGGCTGGAACATCAAAACGACAGCCCTTCTGGAAATGCCCGGCGCCGACAGATTGGTGGCACCACCGCCGGGACGGCACTCGCCGCGGCGTCGATCCCCATCCTCCACAAGAACGAGAACGGTGACACCAAGGTGCGCAGAGGAGAGGATTGGCATCGGGCCGGCCATAACTCCACCATCAAGGCACACGACATGCCCACCCACCGTTTCGTCGAGGACCACGTCGACATCATTCGGCATTCGGCGGGTCGTGGAGCTGGTTGGTCCGTAGCAGGCGCGACCTCCGCAACACGTATATCGGCAGTGGCCGGTGAAGCACCCGGCGCGCTCTGGGACCTTCCTGGCGGTGCAGAGCATTCTGCAAACGCTCGCGAAGGCGGCCAATGACCTCGACTTCGCCGTGAACGCCGATGCGGAGATGAATAAGTGAACTTGGCAATGTGAGGGGCTACCGGTGCAGAGTGGAAGTGGGGAGCGACAGGCGGGATGCGGAAAGCGCCCGGCGCCGTACAGCCCTGCTGCGGCGAAGGCGACGGACCCGGCGCGATGCGCTTCATACCACCCCAAAATAGGGTTTGTTTCGTCGGGTGTCGAACTTGTCGTGTAACACATGGAATGTGTGCAGGGACAACTTCGTCGAACGACGCATATGCCGGCTTTGCGTCGCCCGACGTTTTTCAGCTCACACCCTCTCCTCCCATTTTTGGTTTATTTCAGACTTATGGGTCGTCGCTCGCTGGCGGGCGACGGGCCGGGATGCGCAAAGCGTACCCGGCGCCGTACAACCGTGCCCCGGCGAAAGAAGCGACGGACCCGGCGCGATGTGCTTCATACCACCCAAAAAGAAGGGTCTGTCCGTCGTACCATGTTGGAATGCTCGTCGGGTGTCGAACTTGTTTTGCGCAGTTGGCATTGTGTTGTTATCAATGCACACCTAGCCTCAGGCATTTGTCTCAGCAGCGCAAATCCCAGGTTGGGCCATCTGCACCCGTCGCTTGGGGCAGCACCCGCAGCGACTCGCCATGGTGACTGCCTTTATTTTTCAATCGCTAGTCGGCAGGTCATCTCTCCTGCTGTTAGCCCGGCCATCCACTCCAACAATGAGTGGACATGCAACAAGAAGGTCTTGAAGGGGTTCGAGAGGGATTTTTGCAGGCTCGCCCAGGTCTCTGGCTCTGTGAAGCCGAGATAATGTCTGTGCCATGTACGGTAGGTACAGTTGAGATAAGTCAAGGATGTTCCGGAAACCCGACTGTCCACGCTTCCTTTCGCCCCCTGCACGTTGCGACCAGGCAGTTTGCAACCCGACAGTCGCACAGTGCCAGCTGGCTTCTCCTCAGGCCAGGCGGTCCTGCAATGGCGATCGATATCGATCAGCCTGTCTGGTCTTCGAACATGACATGCCATCCCCTTAACAGGCGAGGTCTCTGAGTCCACCTCCTACGGTGCATCTCGCGCAGACAGCGGCCGCTGCGCCCCTGACAGTACTGCATCTTTTTGTTTTGGTTAAACAGAATTCGTGCCGATTCCTTTTGCGGCATCCTTCGAGTTACAAAGAACCCAAAGAGCCGTAGACTTCCCCCAGAGTCGGGACATGGACCTGCTTTCTTGCCGAATGTGCTCAGAAATCGGTACGATCTCGGGTTGGGCTGTTTTGACCAGCACGAAGACAGTGTTCCAAGTGTTAAGGCGCGCCCATTGAGTCCATTGCCGGCTCCCGTCCTTGCGCTGCCTTTCGGAGCTGGGCAGCCAGCTGCGGCACTGCAAGTGCAGACGCTTCCCACCCGCACTGTCGCTTCACGGCTGCACAGCGGCTACTATTTTCAGGTCCTATCTAGGTTCTCTGCGCATGCCTGATTTCGGTATTTAGGTGACGCAGAGCATGCCGGTGCAGATGCCGCCTGGCCAAAAAGGAGAAAGTGCAGCTTGACGATATAAGTAAGGGAAATTGCCAACCAGAAGGAACATCTGTTCGGGACGGCCGAGCAAGCGCAGTCCTCCAGCAGTCTTCCTTGAGATCGGATTCAGGTTGGACTTTCGATGATTTTGCCCATGGGCAAAGACACTGTTTTTTGCTTTCAGTGAAAGGGTTCAAGATTAAAGAGGAGTTGTCGAGTTCAGAGCGGCCCCTTTGACGCCGTGCGCTTCAGTCATAGACGACGAAGAAAACCAAGTGGATGCATCTTTTCAGGCCATTGCTAGTTCCTATTCTGCTGACTGCAACGGGGGGAAGTTGTCAGCTGCTAGTACGCATGTTTGTGCAGATGCAGGGAAGGCGATTGTGACGGCGATACTAGGCTCTCGATGATACTCGAACTCAGTGTTGGTACCTGAGTGCCTTCAAGCTAGATCGAGGCCACAACGTGCAGCAAACGCCTGGACGCGCACAATTGTGTGACAGCCCCGGTTCGAAGACCTGCGCAGGGTGGATTTACTTCAGCTGTGCTGCTCTGCATTGATCGCGGATGCCAGGTTTCCACCACGTCGGATGTCTGCGCCAGAAGCATCCCTGATCAGGACTCTGTTTGAATGTTGGGAGAGTTGTTGCTTATGCGAGTCCATCAGAGGACAATGCCTGGGGCCGTGCACTTCCCTCAGCCCCGGCTGCTTTCAAGCAGCGTGCAGCTCTTTTCTCTCTTGCCAGGCTGCCGATGTCCACGCTTCAGGGTGCTGCCTGAGCTTCGCGAAATGTAGAGTAGCCGCCAAGACAGCTCCACGCTGCAGCTGTGGAGGTCTCCAAAGCGAGACTGAATGTACGTTGCAAAATGCAGATTGCGAAGCGACGTTTGGCCAATATCACTTCTTCCGTGCCACCGTCCATCAGGCCAAGCAGCAATAACCTCAGCACGGACAGGGATTGTCGGTTTCTGTGGGCCTGGCTGTGCTGAGGCTGGGCCATTCCGAGGAGAAGGCTGGCTGTGATGCGTCTCAGAGCTGATCCTGGGAGTGACTCTGGGTCCCGGGTTGGGAAAGTTTAAGACTTCAAAAGCAGGGCATGCCGGTGCTGGCACCTTCTTGAAAGGGTGTTTGGATGCGCGTTGTCAGGCTCTCTTCGCTGACTTCGTCGAACGATCACAGCGTAAGTCCTTTGCAGAGCTCTTGCCGAACCCCCGAATGCAGAAAGGCATGTCAATGTGTGAAGACCAACCTAACGCAGGTAGTGGTCATCATATGTTACCAAGCCGCGCGGTCTCTTGTATTGTTTTCCAGATGCTGTGCTGCAGTGTTTGTTGAACGCTAGGCTGCTAGGAGATAGATGCAGATGTTTGGTGGCATCGGGCTCAGGTCGAAGGCCCTGCAAGGAGTTTCGGGTTCGGCGGAGGTGGGATTCTTGTGCTTATGCGCTGAAGGTCTGAAAAAAGCGCCGCTTGCTGAGACACAGAACAGGTCGGCCTGTGCGCACGAGGTGCGGAGCAGCGCTGCCGAGGGCCCATCGAGGAGGGATTCAAGCAGAAAGGCCACGTGAGGAATTGTCACAGGTTCACAATGCACGAATCACACCAGCATAGGGATAGTAACAGTGCTCCGAGTGATGAACATCGTCGTTGTTATCATCAAGGCAGCCAAGCATCATCATCAACTTAGTTCTCAAAAGTTTTTAATCGTAAATCATGGTTGCCGCCTACGGTTTCTACGACTACCACCACTACTTACTAAGTAGTATTACTTTTTATTACTTGTTACTACTACTTACAAATGCTACCTGCCACTACTACCACAACAACAACAACTACAACAACAACAACAACCACCACCACGACTACTACTACTACTACTACTACTACTACAACTACTACTACTACTACTACTACTACTACTGTTTCTAGAAGACATCGCCATGCAATAAATAAACAAATAAACAATCAAACACATAGATAAACAAGCAAGCACATGTACGACCAGTGCAGGGGATTGCCCCCTTACCCCATGGTGGCGTGATGCCTTAGGGTCTTGTTTGTGTTTGTGTCCCGGATTCTTTATCTGCTCCCGCTCCGCTGTGAGGTGGTGCTTGTGGTGTTGTTTGTTGGTCTGTGCTTGGTCCCTGGGACCTGTCTCAATTATCATGCCCCTGCCCGTGCAGACACTGGCCGTCATGTGGATCATGACAATTCATGACATCGATGTCCCTGTTCCGCTCTGCGAATCGTATAGACAACCACAGTCAGAAACAGATGACGACTTCGTGGCATTCACTGTTGCCATGTTTGAGATGCGAAATTGCTCCGTGTGTCGAAGACTGGCGAAAGTCGCGAAGAACGCGAAACCTACAGGTCCCATACCGGTAACTGCGCATCTGCGTGTACAAAAACATGCATGCAGATATACAAATATACAGGTATATGTACATACACATATATGTATATGTATGTGAATATATATGTATATGTATATGTATATGTATATGTATATGTATATGTATATGTATATGTATATGTATATGTATATGTATATGTATATGTATATGTATCATGTATATGTATTATGTATACCTGCAAGCTCCGTTGCGGCAG